TCTCGAGTATAATAGTGACATATATTTTGTACATCAGTAATAAAAAAAAAACGGAAATCTCGAAAATACGATTTAAAAACCTTGCTATATTTAAAGGAAAAAAAAACAATAATTAAAAAATATGCTAAGAGAAACTATAATAAACAGAAACAACTGGACATCTAAAAGCTAATTGAAAATTTTGAAATAAATATTATTACTCAATAATGATATTGAAAATGTCTTCAATAAATTGTCAAATAGACAATTCATAATGGAAGATAGAAGATAAGGTTTCACCCAAACCATTATTTATTTCTATTTAAGTACATGTCTCTAATTTATCAAAAAAAAAAAAAAATAGAACAGATGGATGGAGAAATGACGAGAATATCGAAACATCTATTTAGAAAGATTATTGAAGCAAAAAATCATTTTGACAATGGCATACATTTTGGTAATGAATTACATAAAAAACATCTTTTTGTTGGAAATTGGGTTTAATAAAGTAATATTTTGACGAGATCATGTCATACGTATACTAACGAGTAAAATGCATATATGATTATTCAAAATTATTAAATTAATTTTTGCTATTACAAAATTAACTCCAATATTATATATAAAAAAGTATATAAATCATTCTTTAAATTGGACTCAATGTCAAGTGTGAAACCATCACTATTTTATTAGTATTAAAGGGTAGCTCGGTTTCAATCCCACTTTCCTTTGACCGAATGCTTCATAAAATTAATTGAATTGAACACACAAATTGGAGTTTTGATTAAAATATAATCTAAAAAATCGAGCTGAGAATGGATCCAAATGATGCACTTAAAATTAAATTAGTCTTTAATTCACATGGGCAATAAGACCAGTGGCAGCATGCGTGGGGGACTTGTTTTATTTACATTTTTTAATTGCGTGAACTCATTATTTTGCACAATAATAATATTGATGAAACCCAAAACAGGACAACAAATCATTTCCATTAACTAAAATTAAATTAAGTGTGTTGTGTACAATTTTTCTTATTATTATGTCAGTTTCTGAGAGAGACAAAGACAGACGGGAAAATTTAAAAAAGAAAAAAAAAAGGCATTAGGAAGAGGCAACAAGCCAGCTAAAATATGCATTAATTATGTTAATTATTCACCACACGAAACTTCCTAATGTTCAAACTCTGAAACATACATTATTTATTAATTATGATTATGATTATGATTATGAGAGAAAGAAAGTCATGTAAGTCAAGTTGATTAAGGAATTAACAAATTCAAATTGAGACTAGAAAGATCCATTGCTTATTAAAAAGCCTAATTCGAGAGATTACTATAATCCATTTTTATCAGAATTATTATTAGAATATTAACCATGTTCTTCGATTATTGCTCTGATTCTTTTCATGCTAATGTTTATGTAATCAAGGAGGGAAGATTCATGCCTCATCAGATTGATTTTAAATACAGATATTTATAATTAAAACCAAGAGCCTAGAGAGATTAATTAAAAATTAGCTAAGGGACATCGATTGATGTGGTTGTTTGGATCTGGATTAATTTAGTTGAGTGGCAGGAGTACTTCGACGTGGCTTCCAAATAAAGAAATAAAAAACAACTCTGTTCCAATTTCCATAAACAATTAAAAAAATTTGGGGTTCAAAATGAATTATCAAGACTCAAGAGATGTAAATTATTATTATTCTTTTTTTTTTGAAATTGTGAAAGCTGAGCATCCTAAGCAAATATATATATATATATATATATATATATATATATATATATTTCTTTAATTAATAAAATGAGAAACAAAGTTCTGGGTAATTACGGCATTGTTGGGATTATGTCAGATCGTGCCGAATCTGTCTTAATTTTATAATTTCAATAACTTTTGCTAAAGGAAGAAAGCTATTGGTTTAGAACCAACTTCACTATATACCATAGCTTTTTTTTTTTCTTTTTTTTTTTCTTTTTTAACTCTCCTATCTTTTTAGAACCAAACCCAACATTAATCCCAATCTAAGGTTAGAAGCTTTATGACATATATAATTTAAATATTCTTATTTGAAACACAATAACTTTGTTACTCCTATTTTATAATTTTAGTAGTATATATGGATTTAAACCACAATAGAAATTTTCTAACATATCCTTAATTTATGTTCATAGTTCGAAATATTAATATTATGACTTCATCTACCGATATAATTTATGTCTACGTTCTTTTTACTAATTATTCTAAATTAATCTTAGTATATATATGTAAGTTATGTTCGGATAGTTTTCCTTCTCTTGATCTAGCTGCAAAACTATAAAATTTTAGATACAAATTAATTTAATAACTTTTTAAATATCACTTGAAATAAATGGACATATATAAAAACGTCTTTTATAAATAAAAATCTATGTTATTTGAATATGGGATTTGTGTGACTTTTGGCATTCATTATTATTATTGTTGTTTTCTAACAAACAAAAAATCTCTCCCAAAGAATAATGTCATACATGGACCAGAATATGTATATAAATTAAATGTGAAAGCAAATTATAAAATATAAGTGAACCCTCTTTAATTTCCTCACTTTGCTTTCTATCAATTAAACTTCTTCCTCAATCCCTAAAGCAGGAGACATGATTTGAGATCATCAAAAAACCAAACTTGATTGACTTCGTAAGCATCTTCAATTGCAAAAAGAGGAAAAAGAAACCCTAAAGAAGGGTAGGTCTACACAAATAAAGCTTGCCCCACAATTTTCTACCCAAATAATTCCATATGCCATCAGAATGGATCTAGATCTATATCAATATTGACATTATAAATATTAATCAAGGACATGTATTTCTTTTTAATTTTGTGCTACCACTTTTAAATCTATTTCATAACTATTTTGTTTTTAATTTTCTATTCTCAAAACTCAAGTTTTGTTTAATTATTAATTAGATAATATTTTTTAGATCTAAATAATTTATTTTTTAAACTTAACTTGCAATTTTAAAAAGTGGAAATCTAAACAAAAAAAGTTTTGGTACTCGGGAAACTTAATTGTTAAGAGCAGAAAACGAAAATTAAAAAGGGTGTCAAAATGGAACCTGGACTATTTTGCTTTTCATCCAAAAATGACTTTTTCAATTACTTAAAGTTGACAAGTTGCAAGCCCTATATGTTAATGGATGCTTTATTACCAAATTGCTCGACTTTATGTTAAAGATGCCACAGGATGAATATAACCCAAAAAAATAACAATAATGTTGATGTTGTTTTCGTTGAACTCACAGGTCGATCACGTGTTAATGAGGACGAGTTGTCGAGAACCTGCACAAGGAACAAACACTCTGACGTCCAAATTAGTTGTGAGTTCGAGCTGTTTCGATCATTCTCAGAGGAAACAACGTACCTAAAAATGGGACGGAGCATCCCTTTAAAAGGCCGACGGAGGAGATAGAGATGTTGGGCTGTTACGATCGGCGGTTACGGCTATCAGACCCCCTAGGTTAGTGATCGAGGTCGGATTTCTCAGGTCGGTGGATACCTCCTTTCATCTCAGTCCGTAGATATCTACCAATGGTCTGTTTCTGTATCTTGAGTACTCTGAATTGAACAGATGATTACTTGTGTCGAATATGATTTTGACCACTAACAAATAATTTCAATAATTGGGTTGCAGAGAAAACTGGGTATTCAATATATCATTACAAATAATATAAATTTCC